TTCCAGAAGTGGCGCGGCCACTTTTGCTGGCAGCCCTGCTCCTCAGCTACTGCTTGCAGGGGGAGCACTGGTGTTCCCCCCTGCCCCCCTGCCCACTGGCTAAACAGGGAGTACGGCCTGACAGGGGGTGTACCAGCCCTCCCAGGGGGGTGTACCCCCTACACATCACCCCTGGCAGTGGCCTCCTCCAGGACCTTTGGCCTCACAAGCCCTGGCCTTGCCTCGAGGCCAGTCAGGATTCCAAGCCTCTAGCTCTGGCTGTCCCTCATGGTGGGCACTCAGGCCCTTTGACCATCATAGTCCTGGCCTCAGCATTGACCAGTCATGGTTTTATGGGTAGGTTCTTGGCAGCTAGCCCTCTCACTCATAGAGGTCTGCTGTCTGAGCTCATGGACCACACAGCTCCTCCGGGACCCCTCCTGAGCCCACTGTTCCACTCTCACTGGGCTCACTCTCTCTCTCTCTCTGCCCCTTAATGGGCCTCTACTCTGGCCAGCCTATGTGCAGTCCTTCAGCCCCTCCTCCCTCCCTGGACCCTATGCAGCCTCCAGCTCTCACTCCACCCCTCATTGGGGCCACTGGGTGTTTCACCCCATGGGCCTCAGGCCCCACTCTATGGGCCTTGGCCCTGTGCTTTTCTATTTGGGTATGCTCCCCTAGCCTTTCCCCCCATGGGGTCACCCACAAGGCAGTGGGGGCTGAGACTTTCCAGCACCCCATACTCACCTTTCACTAGGGAAGCACAGGTGTGGCATTTCCTGGAGACTGTCTCCATACCATCCAACCCCATCAGGGTGTAGTTTCAGGTCATTCCCCAGGACCAGGAACCTCCTCCATCCCCATAGTTCCTACTCTTAACCTCCAGGTGTTCTAGGAGCAGCAGTACTCCAGTCAGGAGATGTTCACCCTTCAGCTCCATAGTTGCAACTGCCCAGCTGTGCTCTCAAGGCCTGTCTTATACCCTAACTGCCTAGCCCTACACCAATCAGGCAGCCTCCTGGGTGCCATGTGACCCTCCTGATTGGGTCTTCTCCCACCTGCAGGCTGATCTGAAGCCTGCTCAAGCCCTTAAAGTGGCAGGCACAGCCTGTGCTCTGCCACATAGCCATCTCCAGATTCTTCTGAAGAAAGAATCCCCATAATAGGTAATTATGGAAAAAAAATCCATCAAGCAATCTCCAAACCCCATAGGAATGGGTTTATACTTTGAAGCATAATGATTTTTTTCCCCTCCATTTGCAGTAATTGTCAAGTCTCATAATGCACACAAGGGTCAAATTGCACCTCATTCATTTGCAGATACACATTTCAAAAAAAACCCCATGAAGTGGCAACAATTCACTTCAGCATTGCAGTGAAGTAGTCAATAGAGTTTAAGAACCATTTTCCCTTCCTTCCCTTGAAGTGCATAATGATTCTTCTTACTCTTCTATAACACTGAGAAAGAGCTATAACACTAACCCCTAGCAACAGTTGCCATCTATTCTTGCCACCCAGGAAGCACAGAACTAGGTTCTAAGTACAAAACCAGATACACAGTTTCAGGAAAGGGTGTTCACAGGTTAGTAACCAGTTTCTCCTTTGACCTGGGGCCTATAAGGAAAGGATGCATTCTATCCCAGTTTTTCATTACTACCATAATCCACACTATACTCAGGTAGAAGGATGGGTAATGTGTGATTATCAAACATGAGATATTTCAATCCGTTCATCCATAACCAAAATTATAAATGTGCCTGGATCAGGGATTTCAATTAAAATTCTTTCTTAGATCAACTATAGCTCTTGTGCGGGTCTGATCTCACTATCCATACTCCATGGTATCTTAGGTAGTCTGAGAAAATATTATTTGGAGGGGCTGAGTGCATGCATCAGCATAAGAACTACAACTCCCATCATGCTCTGCATGGTGCAATGCATGCGCAGTTAGCCTATTCTTCCTCAGCTGTGTAGAGCTAAGAGAGTGTGGGGCGCTGGCCTGGCTGCATGCTGAGCAGCACCATGGTGCTGCTGCTGTTGTTGGCCGCTGTGAAACTAGTTTGTGGGGGTTAAGCCCCAGCCTTCCACCACCTATCAGTACCAACAAGAGTTTACTAATATGTATTCCAAGACTAAAGCTACTATTACCACATTTCTAAGGGGAATATCATCATAGCATCTGGATGTTCAGAATACTTGTCCAAGAGCCAGACCCTGCTGCATACTGCAGTGATCTAGCACACAGGTCTACATTATCCAACCTGCTGTGCTTTCCTTGAGTCTGGAAATTTGGCAGCAGGGAAGCAGCAATTAACACTACCATCGTTCGTTCCTCCACTGCCAAATCTCCTGTCAGCTAAAAGAAATGGCTCCACAAGCCAGATTTGGCCTGTGGGCTGGGGGTTGAACACCCCTTATCTAGTCTATTCCCAGACTCTAGAGTGGACCAAGCTTATCTTAGTTATCCCTAAAAAATGTTTGTCTCAACTGCTCTTGAAAACCTTCAGTGAAGGTTATTCCAAACCTATTTTAGGTAGTCTGATTCCAGGATTTCACTACCCTTATAGTTAGAAAGGTTTTCCTAATATAATTCAAAGCTTTTTTGCTATGAATTTAGCTGATTTCTTTTTGTTCTATTCTGAATGGAGACAGAGAATAATTGGGGTCAGGAAGGAATTTTACCCCATGGTCAGACTGGTACAGACTGGGGGGTAGGGCCTATTTCTCACCTTCAGAGATGTGGGCATAGGCCCACCAAGTAACCTATTGGCCTCCATCAGATGGGGAGGCTACAGAAAAGGTGACAACTGATTACTGGAGACTGTAACAAGGAGACTTTGCTCCTGTTACAGAAATGCACAGGCAAAGAACCCGTTTGTTTAAAACTTACAGTTGGCCCCGAAACGAGATACAGTATAATTATGAGCCCAACCAGGTATCTAACTGCCTGTCAGAGAACTGTTTGGGGAAGTGTAAATTGCTTCTTAGAAGTTCCATTGGTTAACGAGACCGGGATACAAAGAGGCTTATTTGCTAATCAAGGATTCCCATAGTCAGGTGGCTGAGCACCGGGAAATGATAATGACTCATTAGAAACTTTGTATAAAGGATTGACAGTTAGCGGAAAGAGAGCCCCGAGAAGGGGAACTGGAGCAGAAGCATTAAACACCAGAAGTGACAACTAGTCCTGTGAGGGGGCGCAGGTAAGGAGAGAGAGAGAGCCTACGAAGAAATTCCTATTGAAGCAGTGAGTGTTGGAGTTAACCGCACGCCAAGAACAGAGAGTTAAGGCTGCCAGCGGAACGCAGCAGCGGACATAACAGTAAAAGACTTTTTTCTGTTAATGCGGGAACGGGCGGGCAAACGGACACCCCCAGCCAAAAGAGGGTGATTGTTACAGGACTGATAAGCTACTTGTAAACCAGAGTCAGTAACCCAGCTAAGAGACTGACAGCTGACAGCCAGCTGTGATAAGCTACATACGTGCAGGTAGATGTAATTATCATTATTAAATTAGTAAGCCTTCTCCTCGTGTGGTGGACCTTCTATAACTACTCCCATCAAAGTCGTGGCAAGCAAGATTGATACTGTTATGAGTGAAGGCAGAGTCTAACATCTTATTTGTGCCCTAGAGAAGAACTCACACTCACAAGGACAAACAATAAAAAAACAGGGACAGGAGTGCAGGTCAAAGGTCCACAAGAAGGGTTCAGGTCAAAGGTCTACCAGAAGGGTCCACAAGAAGGGAGATACTGAGCAGAGCATACCAGACAGCACCTACTGGCCCAGACTGGGGTTGGGGGGATGTCTTTCTCTGTGGTGGGATGTGGCCCTCTTCCTGGGATCTCTCAAGCATATTTTAACAACCTTTGCAGCAGCAGGGCATGAGCCATCATTGTCCCCCTGCTTTGCCTGTGGCCGATTAGGATGCTATGCCTTGTAGTTGTGTGACTGGTTTGCCTGTGTATTTTTAGTAATGTTAGACTATGATTTGGAATGGTTTGAATAGGGATGATGCTGCCTCAGGCAGAGGGTTGGACCAGATGACTTGCAAAGCTCTCTTCCAGCCCTGTTTTTCTATGATCCTCTAAATCTATGATTGCTGTCCTTTTCATAGCAACGCTTTTATATATTTAAAAACAGTTATCACATCCACCTTCAGTCTTCTCTTTTTTTAGACTAAACAAACCCAGCTCCTATCTTTCCTCACAGATTTAGAAAATGCAACCTCTAATGATCCTTGCTGCTGTCCACTGGACTCTCTCCAATTTGTCCTCGTCTTTTTTAAAGTGTGGTGCCCTAAACTGAATACAGTATTATGGCCAATACCTCATTTCTTTGGAAGGAG